ATCATTATCGAGCTCGAATCAAAATCGAACCATGATGCAGAGTAGATCTATCGTTCTGATAATTCAGAGACCAACCAACATCGACCTCGAATCAATTCAAGGGCTCAAGCCAGGATCGGGCTCGAACCAAGGTCACGAGTTCGAGCCGAAATCAAGCTCAAACCAAAATCGAGGGTTCTAAGCAAGATCGAGCTCGCAGACAAAAGCCGTTGCAATCTCACTAGAGAGAATCTTGGCAGAAATTATGAAAAAGCTAACTTATTATGGGTCTCCCACTGAATGTTTATTTTATTATGTTTAGAGCAAAATCTNTGGGTCTCCCACTGAATGTTTATTTTATTATGCTTAGAGCCAAATCCCTCCACTATAAAAGGGCTTGGTTACCATTTTTGTACAACAAGTTTTTCAGGCTTACATTGTAATAAAAGTGCTATATTCTTCTACAGTAAAGAATCGTTCTTTCAGATTTCTTAGATTGATTCTATTTATTGAATCCTAAGATTCAANTGATAATTCAGAGACCAACCAACATCGACCTCGAATCAATTCAAGGGCTCAAGCCAGGATCGGGCTCGAACCAAGGTCACGAGTTCGAGCCGAAATCAAGCTCGAACCAAAATCGAGGGTTCTAAGCAAGATCGAGCTCGCAGACAAAAGTCGTTGCAATCCCACTAGAGAGAATCTTGGCAGAAATTATGGAAAAACTGACTTATCATGGGTCTCCCACTGAATGTTTATTTTATTATGCTTAGAGCCAAATCCCTCCACTATAAAAGGGCTTGGTTACCATTTTTGTACAACAAGTTTTTCAGGCTTACATTGTAATAAAAGTGCTATATTCTTCTACAGTAAAGAATCGTTTCTTTCAGATTTCTTAGATTGATTCTATTTGTTGAATCCTAAGATTCATTGTTCCTGATAACCTTATCTATTTTGCATTCTCCGCAATCTATATTTACATTTTTATTTATCCTTGCATTTTGTGTTAAGTTACGCCACATATCCTCGGAACTACGTATAAATTCAACTCTATCTATTTTTCGGGTAAACAAATATACCTCAGATCTACTAAAGCTTGACATCGGATCATCAATATAGAATACAAACTAAAGTCTAGACTCGCAACTCAAATTCTTTTCAACAGCAATAGAAAAGGCTAGCTCCCATCATTTTCAAGAAGTTGTAACAGGCATCAAAAGTCAAGCTTTCCTTTCACATATTATACCATTGAAAAAGAAGAAGAAAGGCAACAAAGTTACGCATACAAAAGAGCACTTGCAATAGAAAAAACAAACACTTAATTTGTTTCTAAGTAACTCAGAATCAGTCATGTTTTTCATCTCTACATTCAGCAAGGACTACCAGAATATACATTGAAACTTGATATCATTGCTCAGATTAATAACCCAAGATAAAGCAATTGTAACTTCCTAATGTATATCCCAAGGATATTTAGAAAGAACACTTAATCTATTATCGATAAGGGCCTACTTATATTGTCAAAACCAAGCACTAAAAGGAGAAAAGAGTGGCTGTTACTGTGACTGAGCAACTGGAACTAAGCTCATTGTATATGGAACCACAGTGGCAACAAAAAAAGGCTTTGGCGCGAGAGCAGAAAGGCTGCAGAGGTGTCTCATCTTCCTTGTCTCAAAGTGATACAAATAGATATTAACTGAAACCCTCATAAGCAAGATATTATCCTTGAAAGCTAGAGTCCCAATCCAAGGGATATCATCAGTATTGAAGTTACTTGCCAACTTTTCAGCTATCCTAAACAGATACTTGTTGTTTACATTTTCCAGCTCTTCTAAAGAGATTGTAAAAGTTAGATCCCATTGAGACGTAAAACGATCCTCAAGCACCCACAACTGAAGTCCATGCTCACAAATCAACACGTAATGTAGCTTCCCTTCAGCTTCTCCCAAGCACATCTCGGGTTTTAAATTGAACTGGTTTCTAGGAAGTGGTACGCTTATCAACCAAGATATCTCATTTTCTGGATCAAACATGAGGATTTGGTCTCCATCAGTAAGGCAATATATAATCCCCTTTACGCAAACACATCCCTTTTTCAACATGTTGTGATTGCAATAACAAATCTCTCCCGATCTTCTCCATAATCCTGTTTCTGATGAATAAATGTTAAAACAGAAATATCCATATCCATTCCCTTCTGTGCTAGTTTCATCTTGACTAACTATCACAACGTTGAATTTTGTGAACTCATCAATCGGTTTCTTCAATGGCTCAAAAACCAAGGTTATGTTGCTTTCTCTCGACGGATTTGGCCAATGAATTGCTTTCCACTCCTTATTCACAGGGTTGCAGATATAGATTAGGGGAACGTTACAAGGAAAGATACTTCGACAACAGATAAGTCCATATCTTGAATCGAGGATGACAACATTTTCTGGTAGGAAATCAAGAACATTATTATGGACTTCAGTGGTAACTGTTGCTATAGGTATGTAGCTAATCCAGTCATAATCTTCATCACACCACTGGTACTTACCTTGGTAGAAGAAACCTGCAGGGGTTTCCATATTTTTCAACTGAACTTGGATGAAATTGCGGTCAGATATAAGACATTGCCATTCCTTTGACACACATTTCAGTTTCAGCAAATCCTTAGTAGACAATTTTGGTAGTACTTCAAACAGCATATCATTGCTTGGAGACCAAAGTTCCTTCTTCATTTTCACAACCCTGAAATAATTTGATTTTATTAACACAAGAAAACAAACTCTTTAGTATAGAGAAATAACCTTACCCTTCCCAAAAATTCAAACTAGAGGACGACTAAAAGCATTAACAAAATTTAAGAGCAGTACAACAATTAGATATACAAAAAGCGCTACTACTATATAATAAGTGGATTGACATTTGCAATAAATAATAGAGATATGATCAACTGTGAAATATGCAAAAGTTGTATTCATCTTAAAATATCATGCACAAACTGCTCTTTTTTCTTAGTTTCATGTTCTTTTATGAAATGGAAAGTAAAGATTGATAGCTATGTACAAGAAAGGCAATTTCTTTTAACCCATAGTGGACGAAAGATAGCAAACTCCATCCCATACTTCCCCACCCCCTAAATCGCACTGCCTATAAAGAAGACTAAAAAAAAACTGAAGAAACAAAATGAAAAAAGTAACGATGAACCAAGCAAACCACAGTGTAACACAGGAAAAGTTGGAAAGAAGTAAAATAAAAGAAAAACACTGTAGTCTGTATTCATTATATCCTTTATTTGAAAATAGAACTTTTCAACATGTTTCTTATGCATTTTTCGGCTACAACGAACCAGCAGACTTTGCCAGAGATAAATGGATTTGCATTACAAATATAAGACTAGAAAACAAGAAAACAGACCTTGTATTCCCGAGAAAGCTTAAGAATGGCTTCGAGAAATCCTCAGAATGAAAACGTAATAGCCATCAGAAAACCAACCAACCTTTCATTTTCTCTGCTTATCTTCTCTCTGTTTCTTTGTGTGCAAGTAGCTTGCTTTTCACTTTTACATGCAAAACACAAAGATGGTGCTCAGTACTCTGGCACTGGGAATATGGTAGTGGTAAAGTGGGAGTGCAGTTTTGGCTGTGTGACAGAGTCTGCAGACCCTTCAAATGCTGCAACGGAACTTGTACAAATTATGACTACGGATACAGGTCAGGACGTACCCACTGCTTACACGTGTCCTCCCAACATGCTGACCTCCTTTCCTTAATTTTCCTCCACTGTTTTTATGTACATATTGTTTGGTTTTGTCATATACACTCCACCAAAAAAATTTGTTTTATTATAAGGCGATTTAAAAATCAAACAATAATAGCAAATTAGCAATGTGAGTTTATAACCTTAAACAAGGGATCTGTTACAGGTGGTGTAAACAATAGTGTATATAGCTTAATGGACCCTAATTTGAGACTGGAGTGTTGTTGATGGATATATGACTTACATACGAATATGATTTTGAGTTTAAGCTAAAAATGAAAAAGGGCTAATAAGGTAAAAAGTCATCAAACAGTAGTGATCCTTTGTTCTTTTTGCACTTTAACGATAATTCAAGGTTAGCCAACCTTTGGCGCAATTAATTTCCTTTTTCCCAACTAGAGTATTAGGTGCCGAATAGGAAAGTCATTAACTAGTACATGCTTTTTATTTGCACCTTTGGTCATTATCTTTACCTATTAAACCCAAGAAAAGACCGGAAAAGGAAGAAAAAGAAAGAATTTTTTTGTACGTCGCCAATATGTTCATTTTTGTTGGTAAGGTGACCAAATTACGTGTAATCTTAGAAAAACGAAAAACATAAGTTCTCGCACTACAAACAAAAAAGCAAAGAGGTTATTGTAAGTTAATTTCATTTACCATTTAGATTGAATAAAATTTGCTTAATCCAATATTGCAAGCAATTTTGTCTATATTCATTTCTTTTTCCGATGTAGATCTTTTTGGAGGATGTCGCTGCCCTGGAGAGGTTCTACCTTTATGAACTAACTCTATCCCAAAGGGAAATAAAATTTACAAGAGAGGGCCAAATTTCTCTGAGCCTCATTAAATTACTAGTAAATGAAACTATGACATCCCTTGCCACAATTGCAACATAAATTGCCTTCTGAATTACTCTGATTGGTCCATGTCAAAACAAGATTATTCCTCTTTATCGCTCTCCCGATTAAAACTATCACAACAAAAATGAGCAGTTTGGTGCATGTTTAACATTATGGCTTGGCCAAAGATCAGAAACAAACCCAGAAAAGCTATCGGGGAGCCAAGAAATCACAAATGGTTGTCAGGTGACTTAATTGTTCATATTTACCTGAGTTGAATCACAACAAGTATTGAAAATCTAAAATAACTTCTATTAAACACAATTCAACAAATAACTATTAATTAATCCACAATAGCAATAATGACATATTACATTCCAGCAACTCAGGAAGCAGGGGAAGGATAGAGAAGCAAAAACTTAATGGAATTCATAACTTGCAAGGCTGGTAAAAACAACCAACTCTCAAAATGACATACACAATTGGTAGATAACGAACTAAGGATGAATACAAGTAGTAGTTCATTTACTTTCACGTAGAGGGAGAATTGTTTAAAAATTGCAGAAACAGAAACTGAAAAAAAGATCTAAAACAGGTCAATTAGCAATGTGAAATTAGAGGTCCCAATCCTTCCAAATTTGTCAAGACTCTCAGCGCTTGCTGCGTTCAACTGAGTTGTTGAAAGGTAAAAAGTGTTTCTTACCTTGGAAGGAAACTCCATACCCTTAGAATCCATCTTAACTTCCCCACCACCAATGGACGTCTTTAGCCATTCATATCCTAATACCATGTCACAATTTGACGACAATGGAAGCAAATACAAATCCACACTACACATGGCGCCTTTCAGCAACAATTGAAAGTTGTTGCATGCTCTGCAGGTCACAATAACAGTCCCAAAAGGTGTTATAACAGGTCGAGGCTTGATTGGAAATATGTCACAGCCTAACTTATCCGCAAAGGATTCATCGATAAAATTGTGTGTAGTTCCCCCTAAACCAATTAGGATATTCACGGGTCGCTTCCCATAATACCCAGTCACACAGCAACCTTCGTATGGCTTAGAGTATTCTACTACAGCATCCATAGATATTCTCATGGGTATTTCTTCTTTCTCTGTAGTCACAGGATCTACAGATGGAATATCAGCAACATCCTCACTTTCATCTTCGATTAGATACACTTGCTTTTTGTTGCCATGAGCCAGTTTTTCATCACAATGTAAACAGGCTCGCCTCTCCTTAGGTTTAGTGGCGGTTAGGGTTTTTCCGCGTCCCTTCATATTCTCCTCCTTAAGGAAATCATCAATAGTAAGAGTGAAAAAAAATATCAATCCACACAATAGAGCAAATATTACAAATCATAACAAGAAAGTTTTAGGAAAAATCAATTCTAGAAAGGCGAGAGTGAAAAGAGGAGTTTTAGCCCCGTAGAATTTTGTATTGTACCTGAGGCGTAGATGAGTTTCCACAGACGGCAGAGGAAGCATTCACGTCAGGTTTCTTCAACGAGTCTATGGATTCCTTCAACTCTTGAATCGTTATATCAGACTTGTCCTGTCTGGCATTCAATTCTCCGAACATCCTCTCGATTAGCGCACGCATTTCCCTAATCTCCATGGCAGTATTCGTAGTTTGCTTGTTTCCTTTAACCATCTCGAGGAAGAAGAGAAGGAGGAGGATAAGAAAGAAAAAGAAGAGTCGAGAGAAAAGGGTTTTTGGTTCGTACTCTGCTACAGACCGCAGAATGCGCATTTGTAGTACTAGCCACAGTGTCAACCGCCTTCTCACGTGCGCATTTTCTTTAGAATTAGTTCCTAAATTAAATCCTTTAATATGCTAATTGTGTCTTAAAATTTTCTTGGACTCTCAAAGTAAAATCTATCGGAATGTGTAATTTTTCCCACGCTGGATTACAATTGTATTCTATTAATAATTCCAAAGCCACTGAGTAAATCACGAGCTGAGTAATGACTTCTGAACTTCAATTTGCAATATGATATATGAACCTTGTATCTTGGTATAGCATTTTAAAGTTGTATCAAATGGAAAGTATAATCTTTGTTTTAGAAGAGAAATCTTGTTAGTAGTAGAAAGATGGTGCCAAATAATCTGATATATCAACCATATCACTGAATGTACAACTGTACTTTTTTATTATTAAGCACAAAATTATAGATTTGAAAACTAAGTAAAAGTTTCTCATATGCATTTTTAATTCGAAAACTAAGTTATACTTTTACATTTTTTAAAGTAAAAGTTATATCAGATGGAAACATAACATCATTTCATTTTTAAGAAAATTCATGTTGCGAATGAATAGAAAGGTGGTGCAAAAGGAAATGATATATCAATCGTATATAATTGATTATGTAATTAAATATAGAACTATAATTGACTGTTAAGCTGAAAACTCGAAGAGCTGAGCGAAAATTTCTCTTATACACAGTTGTGAAAAGGTTGGGGGAAAAACCGTTGGAAAAAAAAAGTATTTTGTGAAAATGATGTTGAAAGAAAGAGAGCAATAGAGAAATGAGACATCATAAACATAGACATAAACAAGTGGAATCAATGGCTTTTTAGCAAAAATATGTATACAATGGAGAATTTGACTCGATTAGTTTGGATTAAAGGAAAATAGCTTTCTTGTCCTTCATCCCTACTATGATTTTGAATGCGTACTTCTAATTAGATAAGTTTACTAGAAGAAATATTTGGCTATTAGAAAAGGAAAAAATTAAAGTGTGCTCATTCGAACAAAGCTTTAGAACAACGATAATAGCCATCACAGGTCACAGCCCAATCAGTTCCTTTTTCTCAAGTAGAGTATCATTAGGCGTGAATAGAAAAGTCATTAAGTACATAATACATGTGCTTTATGAGTAGTATGTCAAATGGGCGGGTTGGGTCGAATTTGGACGGATTGATAATGGTCAAGCAAAATATGCATCACAGTTCAACCCGTCCATATTTATGCGGGTCAAAACCGGGTTGGATGACTAATGGGTTGGGTAAAAGACGGGTGGACCCATTTTACACATGAGTGAGAGCCCATTCTATTCCTAGTGAAGAATCTATCCCTCAATAAGAGATATAAGAACTATTTTAGTGAATAAAAGAACTTGAAAAACAAACTTACGATCAAAAGCTCGTTGCAATAGCCTAAATTTACTTTTGAAATTATATACAATCCAAGATTAAAATTACTCTTCCCAGCGTAAGAATTACCCACTTGTATCCAAAACTTAGTTTGCAGTGTGCATGTATACTGATAGATAGAAAGGATAAGTATTTTCATTATACAATTTATAATATTATCGTAAACTAGTCTCTTTCCACGTGTGTTGCATGTGTATCATGCATCGTTTATTAAAGTTATAATGGATACATATTATAAAGTATAAATTTAAATACACCACAAGCTATATGTAACGTTAACATCTTTTATTAATAAAGTTAAAAGATATACTCTCCGACCAATTCTATGTCTATTCTTCTAGCCTTCATGCTATTAATTAAATTTTGGTATATCTCAATATTTTAAAATTTGGTTGGTCCAATAGACGATGTCAGAAGATCATTCTCTGATCAACTTTATCTTCACTATATCCTTCAGCTTTAACAATACCAATTAGGCCTTGATATAATTGTCTCTCAAGGTTGACTGCTCTTTTGTGGAGTATCCAAACCTCGCCTTTCTCTTTTAATGTATTTGTCATGCACAAAATCTTTAAAATGATGAACTTTAGTGTCGTTTTCTCCCTGTACTTTTCTAAAAGGATCCGGATATACTAAAAATATATTATCGCAATATTTACAAAGTATATTATGCATAATGTAAGTTCAAGAATATAATAAACTAAAAGCAGTATAATAGAGACTCACAAAACTGTAGGCAAATATGTGTGAATTCATCTTTCTAGCTCAAATATACGCAGAACCTTACCTCTTTCTCAAGAACAAGAAACAAATAATAGTATAGTTAGTTATAGGTTATATAACAACATCTTTGATCGAATATTAATATTTTAGAGCTATTTATGTTAGAAAAGATTTTACTATAAAGCTTTTAGACACTTTATTAGAGTTCTTTTTTTAATCTTGTTTCACAAGAAAAGATAGCTAAAGAGGAAATAGTCAAATGACAATGATGAAAGAAGAAAGGGGACGGCAATTACAGTTTACATGCAATTTTTGTTTTATAAGGAGTTGTTTCACTTTTGAACTTTTATTTTGATCAAGTCATATTTTATATGAAAATTTTGCATTAACCTCTCCTTGCAGAAAAAATGAATATAGCGTTTGAAATACAAGGTTTTAAGTACATAATTTTTCTAATTTTAAAATTAACATACTTAGAAATACATAAAATTGTATTATAACTCTAATAATTAAAATATTTTAGAAAAAGTATTGTCATAAAAAATAATTTTACGCATAAAAAAATTTAAATACAACTCCATTGGCACAACACTCAAGATTTAAGATATAAAAGTAAAGGCAACATTATCTATATTATATTAAAAACAGGAAGTTTTTAACTTAAAAATTAAATTACAAAAATATCATTCTGATTAATCTAAGTTTCCTAATTAGTAACTATTTAAAATAATCTAAATACATTATATAAAAACGATTAAAAAACCAATTGTAACTCTGCAACGGTTAGCGAAACATCTTAAAAGTGTTATGAATTGTTGGATCACTTGTCTGCCTTTTATTTTGAATACACGGCTTCCGGTGCATGCTTTGAAATAAATAGTAACAATGACCAATGATATAACCTTGGGAACCTTTCCACCAAATTACGCATTATCAACAGATGACGGAGGATGGTGCTAACCGCTTAAACTCATTTTGACAAGGTGGGTTGCTCTGATGGTAAGCACCCTCCACTTCCAATCAAGAGGTTGTGAGTTCGAGTCACCCCAAGAGCAAGGTGGGGAGTTCTTGGAGGAAAGGATGCCGAGGGTCTATTGGAAACAGCCTCTCTATCCCAGGGTAGGGGTAAGGTCTGCGTACGCACTACCCTCTCCAGACCCCATTAGTGAATTATACCGATTGTTGTTGTTGTTCCCGTAAACTTTTGACAAAAGATGAGTGAATACTTTTTCCAAGTTAAGTGGGATGGGAATACTCGATCGATACGAGGAGGATGCATTCTTTTTAGCGGAGTCGACATCAAAGTGATAAATCAAAGAGAATGTGACAATAAAAACGGGTTCTACTTTCTTAATTTTACTTATTTTAATTTGTATATTTATTATCTTTTGTGATTTTTGTAAAATTTACTTTTATAAAAAACTTTGCACTTTTATTTTTTCGAAGGCATTTGATTTGTGTAGGGTTTCGACGGGCGTCTCTTGTGGGCACAAAGGAGACTGGTGGTGGAATGAAGTGGTCCAAGGTAAAGTGGAAGCAAAGAAGGCGGCGTACCTAAAGTTAGTGGGGAGCATAGGTGAGGAGGAGAGGCGAATGTGCATGGAGAGGTATAAGGCAGCTAGGAAGGAGGCTAAGCTGGCGGTCACAGAGGCTAAGACTGCGGCTTATGGTCGTATGTACGAGGAATTGGGGGAAAAGGGTGGGGAGAAGAAGTTATTTCGGCCNTATATATAGACTCTCTGCTCTCCTGACTGAAAGAAGATAATACTTAACTGAATATAAAGTCTCGATAAGGGAGAATACTGTAGCTTATGATACTAGAATAATGTACATAAATTCAGGAATATGAACTTCTCTTTATGCCTCGTTATCAAACGCATGTAGTTACGGGATCATGCCAAAATAAAGGAAAGGTTTAGCCTTAACATACCTTATGTCCGTTGAGTCCTTAATACCTTCCAATGAATTCTTCAAACAACTCAACTCAATCTACCACAGCATAAGGAGATTCAAAATCAGTGCTGAGTAAGGCTAAGTTCGCAACTTAAACTAGTAGCTCGTTTACGTAAATTTGGGTAGCATCTCCCCTGTAACTAGGCCCTCCTCCAAAACCATATACCAACAACAAAAAGAACACAACAATAACAGCATGTATTCATCATTTTGCAACCTTATCTCCATCAGAATATACCACAAAACAGCCTACACACCTTAATCATTTTATACATAAAACGACAACCAAAGTAGTGTCAAACAACCTAAAAAAAGTAATGACGAACGACCAGTCCACCATTCTGTCATTATGTGGTATTTCTCCTCCAAAACTCGGTGAAATATAAGCACAAGAGGCCAACATCAGTGGACTACAAAACAATCCATTAGAAGTGAAATAAATTGAACTCACGGCTTCCGATCACCATTCCGTAAGTTCTAACTATTAGGAAACGAATTTATCAAGATTCCTTGAGTATATATTGGTGTACTAAAGAAGGAGTTTTCTTAAATATTAATTACCTTCCAAAACTCAAACTACAAAGAAAAAGAGAGGCGATATAGCGCTACTTACGTCGTAGGATCGTTCTAAAGTTATCGCTTCTTGATTTCGTACATGGGATGTTAATCTTCTTTGGAACCCTTGTAGAGAGCTTAAGGGTAAGTTTATGGGGGTTCTCTGGTCGTTTTCTATGAAAAATGAAGAGAGAGACGATTTAAAACCTATATATATCAACTTTTGAAAAGTCAAAGAGGTGCTAGCTTGGAACCCTAGCATTGGCCCTTCTTCCGACGCTTATATCTTTTTATCCGGATGTTGTATTAATGAACAATTAAGAGCGTTAGAAACTAAATTACAAGACCTTCAATTTGGTATATAATATGTCCCAAAAGACCTCATATAAGAC